ACTACCTGTGACGTAAGTAGACATTGATTGGCCAAACGCGTATGAAAACGCCCTCACCCGCCATGATTTAAAACGCCGTGTAAACATTGTGTCAACTTATTTCGCAGGTATGGAGAACAGCGATAGATGGACGGACGCTGAAGTGCAGGCACTTGTAGCAAATGTAGCACTGCTAGTTGTCGTTGGAGATTCTTAGTCCTCCTTTCCGTTCTTTCAATCGCTTTACGTATACGTCGACTTTCCATGTCCATTATTGTGAAACCCGCGAGACACAACAAAAACACAGCTCCGATCACAGCGTCCTCCATCCTCCTGTTGTTAATGTTGTTCTTCTTTGTTTCTGTTGTTGAACGCCGCGCACAAATGACAGCTTACGTCACTTCTTAGTACACACTCTTGGTGCGAATGCAACCCTTTAAATGGTACTGGGAAATAGTTCGCGCAAAATCGTCCCAGTACTTTAGTACTGTACATTTAGTTCTAGGAACTAAAGCAGTGCGAAAGGCCCTATTGGCTACCGATACAGGAGAGAACCAATCAGCTGTGCCATGTGATAATGATTTCATTAGGTCAGATTGAGTTAGACCTATCGGACTGCGCCATCTAGAGTTTCATGCCAGAACTCTGTGTATATATATATATATATGACAGAAAGAGTACGGGTAGTGTTGCATGCTGTAGTGTTTGCATACAGAGAGCTGATATACTGCATCAGTATACTGTATACAGTAAGAGTGTGTGTCTTTGTGTGTGTGTGTGTGTGTGCAGGTTCTGCAGGATCTGTTCGGGCTGAAGATCAGCTCTCTGGTGTTGGCTCACCCAGAGGTCGGCGAGGGGTCAGCAGATGAAGCCCCGCCATTCTCACAGACGCGTCACGGTAACGCTGCTCCGTCACGCGTGTTCCTGGATCTCCTGGGCCGTCACAGGAAGCTGCAGGGGCGGAGCAGGAAGGGCGTGGCACGCGGCTGCTTCGGGATGAAGGTGGACCGGATCGGGGTCATCAGTGGACTGGGATGCTGACGCTCTCAGGTACACACTATTTCCACAGAGATGACACTATCATATGACAGAATTAAAGCTGTTTGGCATTAGTCCTGCATTGTTAGTTTTTATGTATCTTCTTTGTGTGCAGGTGATCGTGACCTTCAGCTGGCAGCATTACAGACCCTGCTCTTCTGTTGGTGTTTGTGTTGTTTTAGCGGCTGTTGGATCATTATTTCTGTCCAAATGGCTGTGATGAGCGGATGTGACATGTGATCGACTGCAGCGGCTAAACTCAGCGTTTGACTCTTTCTGCAGAACACAGAACTTAATGTGTTTGTCTTCTAAAGATCCTGAGGTTTTCTCAGCAGTGAGTGTGTGTGTGTGAGTGTGTGTGTGTGAGTGTGTGTGCGTGTGTGTGTGTGTGTG